GGCAAGGCACGGCCGTGTGAAAATAAATACATAATAAAGAAACTATATATACGGCACATATAAAGTGTGGCTGGCAAACTTTTCCAACCAAGCCATCCCACAAAGTCTTATGGGCCAGATATAAATGGCCAAATGGGCCATGTGCTTGCACGGTCCGGTAAAGCATGTCCTAATTTAGCTGGGCCAGGCTGGCGCGGTCGTGATGGCCATGCTATGCTTCACCACATGTTCATTGTTCATCCTAGGTGCAACACAATTGCAAAACGAGCCAGAAGATAGAGGTCGATAGGGAGGAAGGAGACAAGGTGAATAACAGGGCAAGAGAGGAGGAAGAACTTGGAGCTTGTGGAGGTGGCTAGTGCCTAGAGGAAAAGGAGGAAGGGCACAGTGGTCGCCACGTAGCGACACAGAGCGTCCACATATGGTAGGGGCTCAGGCACTCATGGCTACTATGGGGAGCATGGGTAGGGGGATGTGATTGTAGAGGCGGCAAATATGTGGTGCTATCAGGTCGGGCAGCTAGGGATGGAGCCATAGTTGGCTTTTGTCGTGTTGGCAACATTAAAACAGTTTGTGTCTTGTGGTGCTCGGCTGGACTACAAGAGTTGGAAGAAAACAAGAAACAAAATGTGAACAAATAGGGGCAGTGGAAATGCCAAATGTTATCTAGAAGGAAAGCACGCGAACACATTTTATGTGCGAAGTATGGAACTTTAAGATATTTCTTTAGAAGTCCCGAATGTTTAGAAGTTTGGTTTGGAAGTTTGAATCAACACAAGCCACGAACACGAAAAACAAAGATGCAGGGATGTTTCTCAACCTTTTGAGCACAACTTCTCGTGTGGTCTCAACACAAGTTACTTCTAATATAATGACTATCTAGCCAATCATTCAATCCCCATCACTAAATACTCAACATATCAAAGAACACATATACCTCATATGTCAACACAACAATATGCCATCTAAAATGAGCATACTCATTCAATCTTCAATAGATGACACCGATATAGAAAGCAAGATGACAACCAATCAACTCATATATCAAGAGGAATACCAAATCACAAGTAGACACAATAATTTATGTGAAACCTCTTGCGGAGAAAAATAATGGATGACATGGTCAATCAATCACTATGACTATGCCAAAACTGATAATCACTGTCGGGTCAGAACCCCCTTCACTGCGGGAATTCATGACGACAGAGGATACTCGGTAGTGATGGGGTGGCCTATCACTGCCGATTTGGTGACCCGATAATGATAGTTCAAAGCACAACCCTGCAATGTTATTCTCGGCTATCACTGTCGGGTTGGTTCATCAACCGGCAAAGTTAAGTCCCCAGAGATCTAGAAAGCCCCTAGTTTATTGAATGGAGCCCTAAGCTCCATTGCTCCCCCACAAAGGGCTAGTGTAGAAACCCTACACTAAGCACCTTTTTCAAATCGTTTTTCAAATGTGATAACTCCCAAAGTGTCCCACGGGACAACAAATTTAAGCATAGAGTTAGCATTTTAAAAATATTTTCAAAGTATTTTACCTTTATTTCACTATAGCACTAGGTCTAATGCATTTGCAATGCTAATCCTTACTAGTGGTACTAGATAACCGCATTTGCTTTAGATTATGGCTATCTACCTTAAACCCAACCGTGCACACAGCACACTATTGCACCTTAGGTCAAGAAAAGCAAAGACACCTATGCATACCTTTGCCTTCAAACTTTTGCTTCATTCTCCATCATCTCCTTCATCCATGTTGAGCACTTGCTTCATGTTTAGCATAATCTCCACCATGTTTCTAGCCTTGCTCAACTCCGTATCCTTGTGGGCCCTAGCCTAATCATCGGTCAAGAAAGCATTAGTTCACTAGTTGTCACTCAATTGCTGAAACAAAACTAGGGCTTTCAGATGCTTGGCACCTCATCCAACGAAACCAATATGAAACTGCTTGGGGAAAAGTGTGGTTTTGAGAGTTAAAGTGGTGTAAACATCCAAATTTTTAGACGGAGGAGATAAATCAAAATTCGACGATATATAGTTAAGGAGGGTTGGAAGGACTTGTTTCTTTTTTACTTCTTTTCCCTACCCTTCTCCCTTTTGCTTCCCAATAATCCTCGACAAGACAAAACCGAGCACAAGCCTGCATGCTTTGTTGATCTACAGCTCACTAGCAAGCCTCTTTCCTTCTTCTAGTTGGGCCAAGGTCAGGCTAACCGCACCTCCCATCTTCATTGACCATGGGCCCATCCTGGCACAAGCCACACGTCTGTCCTTGTCCCGTAAGCAGCAGCCGCTATGCTTCCTCAACTTCACTAATTCGCGGACATTTGCTTGGTTCAAAATCACCAACAATCATATAAATCTCCATGACTTTTCTTTTCTTAGAAAAAAGTATCTTTGTAGCTTTCTATTTCTAAAAAGTTATAAAGTTATATTTATAACTTTTGTGGATAACATTTTGGGCCACAAAACTTATCGCCACAACTTTTTCACATAACTTTTTCAATATAGTTTCTACATGATCTTTGTGGCCTATTTATAACTATCAGGGGACAAACATATCATGACAATTTTTTAACATAAATTTTCTAGCTATACTTTTATATAATAGATTTTACAAATAACGCAACTTATCCATATAACTTTTTTTGTTGTTCAACATCTTTCAAAATTATACACAACTTATCAAGCACATTTTTTACATAATTTGTTCGAATAAATAACTTCCAAACCTAAAAAATCTGTTCATATTATATAGTAGAAAATGGCTAATATAAAATCTAAAAAAAGGAAAAAAAGAAGGAAAGAAAAAATGAAAGGGCAGAAAGAGTGAGAAACAAAATAGACTTGTTGAATCAGATACAAGGTCATGCTAAAAGTTGTTAAGATAAGTTGTGTATACAATTTGGTCAAAACTGTAAAAAAATTATGATTAGAGGCTATTGTCATAAATTATGTCCCGCAAAATATTATGCATAAATGTTGTGAAAACTCTATAGCTTTCCAAAACTAGAAAATTATGTAAATAATTTTTTTCACAAAAGGAAAGTTGTCGCTAGTTTCAAGTTTGGCAAACCGTTTGCTACTTTTTGGATTCTGGGTCCTATCATCCTCTGCGGTGATAGAACATACCTGTTCCATAAAAAACAGCCATTTTGTATGGATTTTGCTGCTTCAATTGTACGGATGATCTTTCAAGTGAACTGGACTAGTATAGTCTTTGGTTTGGACTTCTACTGGTTCGACCGCTGGTTTGGTTAAGTCCTATTAACTATAGTTGAGTGTGGTGGTGTATGAACTTCCCAATTTGTTATTCTTCGGTTTTCTTGTGTGCCCCTACGATGAAAATGATCAGAAACGAGCAAACTAGGCCTACATAATTTGCATTTTCATATCTTTCTCACATAAACGAAATCGATAACGATATTGCCCAAAATGAATATGACACCCGTATTGCGACATGTCGATATAGGTCAATAATCGATAATGTAAACTAAAAATAATGTTATATAAGCCAGGTCTTCAAACATGCTTTACTTATTTTTAACTAACAAACATGTTTTACTACCCATACAAGTCCACACACAAGACTATTGAAGTGTGGGATATATATAGGTAAAAAGCTGTATATAATATCGCCGGATTTCCTGGCTCGGAAATGACGAATCACTAAAACAGTCCGGTAGAAACAGATATCATTTCCAAATTTACAGTTTCTATTTCCATTTGCTCCCAAAACACGATAAAATCTCATAAACAAGTGACAACAACTGATTTATTCCATTTGGGCTTTCATCCCTACGAGAGAGGGTTTGTGGCATTCAGCTGAGAGCTAGCGGAGTTTAGGCCTTGTTTGGATACATCAAGATTGTGGAAGCTAGATTTTGAAAGCTAGATTATAGAATCCGAGTTGTGAGGTTGATTGGACCCATAGATTATAAAAGCTGCGGTGGACCACTTTTTAGAGTAAAATTATCTTAATACCCTTAGTATTTTATTTTATGTTGTAGCTATGGAAGAAAGAGAGAGGGGCAGAATATTCTTTTGATGACTAGAAGCTGGAAAAAGCTGGGTTCCCTCAGCTTACCAGATTATGGAATCTGGGATCACTGAATTCTAAAAGCAAGCTATAAGTTATGGCTGTTTGGATCCCTCCCTATATTTTAGAAGCCAGCTTCTACAATCTTTGTGAATCCAAACATGCCCTTAATATCCTGGCATTTGTGCAACAGTGATTCAGACAAGATTTTCAATTTCAGTAGTAAAAAAATTCGGCCACCCTCGAAATTACTGAAATTCGCGAGATTTGGCAGAAATTTCCCTGGAATTTTTTTAGAGACTTGCACACGAAGTACGTTTTTTTTCTAAAAAACTAGATCTAAACAAATATTGCATGATTTATGACTACACATCTATTGAGTAGAAGAATATGCAACATAAATAAAATAAAATATGAGTCCAAAATTATATAGCACATATATTAGTGTATTACAAAATTTCGGATTTTTCTTTCGGCAACCCCTGAAATTACCGAAATTCGTGAAATTTTGGTGAAACTTCGCTGACATTTTGAACTCTTCCTGAGCTCTATGGTTCATCTGTCTGCTTTTGTTTGCACATGCCCAGCAGAAGATAAGTACATCGACAATGGTATAGTAGACACGGCACCTGCTGCCGAGACCAAATCAGCACACGTCTTAACGACATGTTGACATTATTGTTCGCTTGATCGTATCAGCCATGCTTATCAGCCATGATACAATATTTTTTTCTCACAATAAAACAACATTAGTCGGCTTATAAACCATAGAAACGATCAATATTAGCGAGCTTGTAGACTGGGCAGAGATGAATCATACAATAATAGTAGGAGCAGTCGAAGTGAGTAGGAAAATGAAAACAGTGATGACCATCCGTGACTAGGACTTGCAACCAGCCAATATATATATATATCAAACGAGCAGCGTGTCTGCACGTCCACCGGCGGCGAGGCGAGGATGGCGTCGTCGTCCAAGAAGGTGTGCGTGGTCGGAGCCGGCGTCGCAGGACTAGTGTCCGCCCGCGAGCTGCGCCGGGAGGGCCACGACGTGACGGTCATGGAGCAGAGCGGCGGCGTCGGCGGGCAGTGGCTGTACGACCCGAGGACCGACGCCACCGACCCTCTCGGCGTGGCGGGCGCGCAGAGCAGCATCTACGCCTCTCTCCGGCTCAACACGCCCAGGGAGACTACGGCCTTCTCCGACTTCCCCTTCTTCCCCAGCAACGATGGCACCGGCGACGCCCGGCGGTACCCGGTGCATGCCGAGTTCCTGAGGTACATCAGGGACTTCTGCGACGCGTTCGGGCTCATGGACGCCGTCAGGCTCAACACCAAGGTCCTGCACGTCGGCCCGTTGGCGCTGCGCGCCGCTGACGACGGCGGCGTGAAGCGGTGGACTGTGAGGTGGTCCTCGAGACATGGTGACTGTGAGGGCGAGGTGGTCACCGCGGAGGAGGTGTTCGACGCCGTCGTCGTAGCGGTCGGCCAAAACACCCAGCCAAGGCTCCCTACCATCAACGGTAGGTTCCGATCGATTAAGTCGTTGATCTCAGAATTTTTTTTTTCTCCTCCCTGTCGAACTGAATTTGTGTTCTTGTTCTTGGTCACCTGAACACATCGATCAGGCATGGACATGTGGAGCAGGAGGCAGCTGCATTCGCACTCGTACCGGGCCCCGGACTCGTTCGAGGACCAAGTGGTGGTGGTGGTCGGATGCCACCCGAGCGGCTCGGACATCTCGCTGGAGCTCTGCACGGTGGCGAGAGATGTGCACATCAGCGTCAAGTCCATGGACGATGGCGCCGTGTTCCCTGGCATGAGGCAAGCTGTGTCCAGGCACCACAACCTGCATCTCCACCTCCAGGCAAGTCGTCTCTGCTCGTTCATGGACATCAACAACATACATATATGCATATAATCCGACAAGAATGCTTGTGCGTATGTATGTAGATTGATAGCATGTGCGAGGACGGGCAGGTGGTGTTCGTCGATGGCTCCTCCATTGTCGCCGACGCCGTCATCTACTGCACCGGGTGAGCGTATAGTATAGGTGCCAACGCTTCAGAATGATTGCCAACTGATTGCTGAATGCTGATGAAATCGTGCAATGGTCTCAACTATAGGTACGACTACTTGTTCCCGTTCCTGGACACGGGAGGCCTGGTCACCGTCGACGACAACCGCATCAGCCCGCTGTTCGAGCACACGTTCCCGCCGGCGCTGGCGCCGTCGCTCTGCTTCGTGGGCGTGCCCAAAAGCGTGGTGGTGCCGCGGTTCTACGAGGCGCAGGCGAGGTGGGTGGCGCAGGTGCTATCCGGCCGGAAGTCGCTGCCGCCGGTGGCCGACATGCTCCGCTCCGCGGAGGAGTACAACCGCGCAAGGGAGACGGCCGGCGTGCCCAAGCGCCTGACGACGACATCTTCGACCTGGAGTACTGCGACGCGTTCGGGGAGACGCATTGCGGGTTCCCGCGGCTGGAGGACTGGAAGAACAAGCTCCTGTGGTCCTCCGTCAAAAGAGTGCGCGATGCCACGGAGAGCTTCCGTGACGACTACCGCGACAGCGACCTTGTCCTCGAGGGCCTGCGCTCACAGGGCTGGCTTACCGGCCGGCCGCCGCCGCCGCCGGAAGACACGAGGGTAGAAAACGAGTCATGAGTGGCGGCTCGATGGCCAGACAAGTCGCTGGGGAGCTCCCGCAACAGTTTTTTTTAATTATTTTTGAAAGATCCTGATTCCCGGCTTGTTTGACAAAGTACGTCTGCGCCAGAAGCACGATTAAACAAATTGTAGAGTGTTCCAGCACTCCTGGGCAACACATTAACTCTGAAAAAACTAAGAGATCAACACAATGAGCCCGTTCGCAGGTTAGTTTCTGGGTTGATAAGTTCGGCTGGTACTGGTTTATTGTGAGAGAAAAATATTGTTAGCTGGCTGATAAGCTCTGGCTGAAACCAACAAACAAACAGGCTGAATAACTCTAGAAAAAACTAAGAGATCAATTAGATACAACTTGAGGAAACAACTAGGCAGGGACACGCGTATCTCACTTTTAGGATTGGGGACAGCTGCCGGCCGGACAAGAATGTCCAATGGCCATGTGCTGCTGACAACGGAGAGGGAGACGACGCACCACTGTGCAAGGCAGACGAGGGAGAGGGGAGATCTCATTGTCGATGGTCGTGTAGAGAAAATCAAGTTCTCAAGGTGATGAATCAGCATCTTATATCGTACCCAACGATGCAACTATCGATACATTCAGTGATTTAGATGCGTTTTGAACCGGTTCCGAAGCGTTGGATCTTGCGGCATGTCCAATGTTTTGGGTTGGTCGTTGGATCCGGTATAAGGACTGCACTTTGGCTCCAGCATTCGAGGAAAGCCATTGAGAAAGAAGACGATGGAAGAATCTGGATATAATATTATGTATTTTTTTTATTTCAGATTTTTTCTTGTATAATTTAGGAATGTATTGTGCCAAGATTTATTGTAAGTCCCCCTTCCATTCGAAAAAAAGAAAAGGGAGCGGCCAGCAAGAAAAAACAAGGGAAATGCTTCCTCTAGGGTGTCTGCCCGTCCGGACGCTAGCTTCCTAGGCTAGCGAATGCTCACATTGGTGGACCGTGACTCCCGATGGCCCACCACGACGTATGCGCTCGTCTGTAGTGGATGGACGATGTATCATGTAGGGCGTCCGCAGCACCGCGATCGCGTTCCACCATGACCGTGTCGCGATCGCGACTGCCCTCCACCACGACTATGTCACTTTGGTGTTCTCCACGGCGTCTGGGTGCTCGCTGGCCATCCCACCCACCCTTTGCGTCATCACCGCCGTCACGCCTCTTGGCATTCTCCACGGCGTCTGAGCGCCCCCCGTTCATCCCACCCGCCCTCTGCGTCGTCCGTCGCGCCGCCCCACCTTACCCTTTGTGCGCCACTCCCCAGCTCCGAGTTACCGGCGAGCTCTACATCAGTGAACTCTACACACCGACAAGCCTCTATTCACCCAAGCAGCAAGGAGATGTTGCGTTGAAAGCGCTTGTTGCAAACGTATGTTGCAAATGTTTCAGGTGTATTCAGATGTATGTTGCAAATATTCCATATGGATGTTGTAAAAGTAGATCTGGATGGTGCATATGTTGCAATGGCTATACATGTATGTTTCAAATGTATGTTCCAAATATTTCACTTATTTCAGACATATGTCACAAGTGTTTCATCTGGGTCTTGCAAAAATAGATCTGGATGTTGCATTTTATTGCAATGGCTACCCACATATGTTGAAAGTGTATGTTCCAAATATTTTATCTGTTTTAAATGTATGTTGCAAGTGTTTTATCTAGGTGTTGCAAAAGTAGCTCTGGATATTTCTATGTTGCAATGGCTATACTGCAAGTGTATGTTACAAATGTTTCATCTGTTTTAGACGTATGTTGCAATTGTTTCGTCTGGGTGTTGCAAAAGTAGATCTATATGTTGCATTGGTTATGTTGCAAGTGTATGTTCCAAATGTTTCATATGTTTCAAACGTATGGTAAAATGGTTTCATCTGGGTGTTGCAAAAATAGATCTAGATGTAGGCGTGGAGGAAGCTTAAGCCCTCGGTAGTCGTGCTGCTGCTCGAGCAGAATGGCAGCTACTAGTCCGCCGCAACGGAGGACCACAGGAAGAGGGCGAAGGGAACCTCCGGCGACAACGGCGTGGTCGCTAGCAGGTGGAGGCTAAACTCCCATAGGTGTATGTGTGAGAGGCGTCCTAGACGCCTCGGTGAGGCCCGTGGACACGGAGAAGGCCGGCTGCTGCGGCTCCCTGGTGTATGGGCCGATGGCGAAGATGGAGGCCACGGACGCGAGAGCGGCGGGGATGGGATGTCATGGGTGACATGGGCGCGACAGGGATATGGGACCTCGCGAGCGCAGCTGGGGGCGAACGACAACGGGTGAGGCGGATCGGGAGGGATGGGGCACGGGAGCTGCATGGATCAGCTGTTCGCTGGACTTGCGGCCATGGTACCGTCCAATGAATTGATATTCTTTCAGATGTCCAGGTGCTAGCAGCTCAAAAAAAAGGATAATGGAAATATATGGGCTTGGCCGATCGTCAAAGGAGCTGGACTGAATTGGATCGACAATCGATGACGCCCACAATACTGTTTATGCTCTGACGTGTCTGGCAGGCTCTACCATGTTCGCCTGATATGCCTCGATGGCACCGTCCTACAGGAGCGCAGGGCATGGCAGGGTACGGTCCTCGGTATTGCGATTGACTTGAGTGCCTTACCTTATCTGCTCCGCCTGCTCCCCGGGCGTACACCGAGTAGGCGTCCCCGGTCAGTCGTTCTCGATCGGCCCCTACTGTGTCGGTCGGGAAAGAGCAGCGAGCAGAGGTCCGGTGTATCCTCGATCGGAGAAAAGGGGTCAGAGTCGGACTACGGTCCCACCTCGGCCAAGCCTTTCGGTCGAGGACCGGACCGTGGTCTTGGCCTATGATTGTGTATTTGGGCCAGCCCAGGCACGTGCGCCGCTTGCTGGGCCTAGTTTTATAGGGAAGCGGGTCCATTGGGGACCCTAGGTTTATGAACCCAACAGGAGCCCTCGAGCCCCTTTGGGGCTTCTGTGAAGCCATGAAGGGGCTGTTGAGTTGGAGCCTCGGCGTTTTCCCCTTTGGTTTGTTGTACCGCGTAGGATAACCAAGTAGGTTTTAGGCGCCCAGCCTCCATGTGGAGGACTGGCAAAGGCCGCGGAGGCGCGCAGAGTGGATAGGGGCCCCCAGCCTCTGTGGGGAGGACTGGCGAAGGCCGCGGACTGCGTCGGAGGGATATTGGCACCCAGCACCTGAGGAGGGGACTGGCGAAGGTCGTGGAGGCGCGCCACGTAGACATAGGCGCCTAGCCCCTGAGGAGGAGACTCATTGGTAATCCGTTTTCTACCGGGTGCGCGCGAGCGCACCCGGTGGGTGTAGTCCCCGAGCCTACGGCCGACTAGGTAGTCGGTTGGAGGCTGAGCAACTTGGTACTCTTTTTAGGGGCTGCGGACTCTTGTGTCTCTTCTGGTTGGGGTGTTCGCCCATGTCCGTTCCGACCGCAACCTAAGCAGTCGGTCAGGTTCCTAAGTCAAGACTTGGCAGCTCGAGCCCTCGAGCCCCGTTTGGCTCGGTAGGGGTTGGTCGAGTTTTGTGCGTCACCCCGTCCACGGTTTCCACAACCGGAGGGGTTGAGCTAACATCACTTGCCTCGATGGCTCGAGTGACGCGCTCGGTGAGCTCACTAACGGGCATGTCCAAGTGGAATTTAGGTCCATCGTTTGTAACGGGGTCGACATAGCCCTCATGTGGCATTCCACTGCTCCTTAACCCGCCTCCTGGCAGATGCCCGAGCCGTTCCAGAGACCGACTCAGGTGGCCCGCTGGTCTCCCCTCGATGGACATTCTGTGGGCATGGCTCAAGGTCAGGATCGAACGAGAAGGTTGAGATGACCCTATCTGCTCTTGAGTGGGTCGGGCGAGGGCCGCTGGGGATCATCTGCGTTTTCTCCCCTGGCTCTATTTGACGCGAGGTGGCCTCGAGCCCTTCGTGGGCCGGCCTTCAAACCCCGGTCGGTTGCTGCTCATATCAAATGAGACGACTATCGCTTCGTGACGCGACACGAAGCGTTGTGATGCATCAATTGCATATGCAATGCTTGGATGTATGGGATGAATATATGGATGAATGTATGAATGCATGCATGAGAATGGATGAATGAATGCTCATGCACTAGAAAAGCAAAACGGGGGTTGGTAGAGTTACCTCGATGGCTCGAGTGACGGGTTCAGGGAGCTCCTATCGAATATGTCCGAGTGGAATCCGGGTCCATCGTTCGTGATGAAGTCGGCATAACCTGCATGGGGCCTCCCATACTCCTTACCTATCACTCGGTAGCCGCCTGAGCTGTCCGATCGACTCGGGTGACCCGTTGGCCTCTCCTCGATGGAGATTCCATCGGTGGGCTCCTTCAAACCCTGCCTAGGAAGGCGAAGGGTCGTTTGCATGTGGTTGTGCCTCATTTCCTATGCCCGGCTTGTGGTAGTGGTGGGCCCCGCCCAGGCCATGTCCCGTTAGCCAGGCGATGTTTCGTCGGGTAGGCCACATCCCGTCAACCAGGGCCACATCCCAACGCACGCCTTTCCGCATTAAATAGGGGGAAGGAAGAGGGTTTTCCTCCCATTCTTTCGCCTTTCTTGAACTGCTGCCATTTCTCCTTCCTTCTTTTCGCCAAGCCTGTTTGTGTGCCGCGGCGGTTTCTAGGAGAGACGAGGGCAGAGCGAGGGAGAGGAAAAACTCACAGATTCGTTCGTAAATCCGAGGTGCGATGTCGAACTAGAGGCCTTCCAACATGCATGAGGAGGTGCTGGCCACCTTCGCCGAGAAGGGGCTGCTCCCATCAAAGGAGGTGGCGCATTGGAGACCTCCTACGCCGAGGGAGATTGTTCCGCAACCCCGGGCCAATGAGGTCGTCTCCTTTCTTGCCTTCCACGAGCGCGGGCGAGGGTACCCCGCACACTGGTTCCTACGTGGACTCCTCAACGAGTGGGTCCTGGAGTTGCAGCACCTCAACCCATCATGGTCAATCACAATCCATTTATTTAAATGCCCTTATTAATTTA